AGAGAGAGAAATGAGGCTGCTCTCAGCTATTTGTATGGATTTATTCCAAATAGGGCCAAACATCACAGACAATGTTGTTTCTCTATGTTTCTAACCAGAGGGGCTTATTCTATCACCATTTTATGGTATATTTCTGGGACACCCTCTGCTAGGATGTGATGAATAGCATCACCTATTACAGTAACTGCTGCTCACCATGCCCAAGAGCCAGAGGCAGGTGACAGAGAGACGTAAAACAGAGTGAGCTTTTCTCAATATATCTGGAACAAAATTTATGCAAAACTGAAGATGTTGAGGACAACTCAAAAATTACCTCAGGAACTGGTGAATGCCACATGAGCAGAGAGTGAAGGGTCCTGCATGCCAAATGAGAGCCCTGAATTCGTAAGAGATTGCTTGTATTACCTGTGGGTTTGAGTTACGAGATGCAGCATTTGGCTCTGCATTTGAAGGTAATTGTTTACAGTGTATTTTATGACTGTTTACAAATGTGGTTTGAAGAAAACAATGGAATATGTAACATGTTGTTTTTCCCCAGGTCTTCAGTCGATTAAGTTTGTATTATTTTAAGTGGCTAGACTAGAAATTTAAGTCATTGTTATTCATATTAATGATAAAGCTAAGGATTCAGCTGAGCTCCAGGCTGCATTGTGAGAGCTGCTGTGTCAGGGTTTGGGAATGGTCTTGATCTGAAATACAAAAGGATCAAGACAGGCTGGTTAATCCTATTATTAGATATTCCCATAAGAACAGGCTTTCACTCATGGTCCTATTGCAAGCACCTTGTGTGGCCACAGTCAGCCATTTAGGGTTATTTTTTAGGGTATTTATGGAAAAAAAAACCAAAACAACAAACCAAAATATACCACATTTAAGGCATTGGCATTTAGGGAGACCAAGATCCCCTGGTAGATTTAAGTGCCATAATGCCAAGATTAAATTTAAAGGTATTTTCTGCCAGGTATGGGGCAAACCAGCAGTTCCCACCTGCTGAGACCTGCAGCCTTCACTTCGCTCACCATGAGAGATTTAGCCCAGAAATGGCTGAGGGTTGTTTCATTGATGTTCAGTGGCTTATTTGATAACCATTGCTACTGAAACATCATTCTGGTTAGCAAAAACAGAGAGGAGAGATGCTTGTGCCTAAGGAACAAGAAAAGGGTGCAGAAATTATGGACAATGCCCCCAGCTTTGCCCCCATGCAGACTTGCTGGGTGATTGGGAGGGAGTCTGCTAATCTCTCAATAGTCAGTTCACAACTTAATAACAATAATAATCCTTCCTTTTTCCTACTCTTTGTGTTTGCTATTTAGCTTTTCAAGTCTCAAAGGCAGGAAACATCAGTGTGAGATGGGCCCTGGCTGGTATCCCAAGGCCACTGTCAGGTGAGGAACTTCTGGGGGCAAGAGTGTTGGAAGAGCTCACGTCCACAATAACCAGAAACAGAACCTTTATTGAGCAGACAGAAGAGGCTCTAGAGCTGAAATGTGCAGGAAG